CGCACCCAGCCAGCAGACATCGATTTCAATCCCGATGTACGACCTTCGGCAAGACACTCTCACAGCTTCAACCTCCCTGGGTGTAAAATGGTGCAATATGTGGCTCACACCTGTAATCCCAGCACTTTGGGAGGCCAGGGTGGGTGGATCACCTGAGGTCAGGAGTTCGAGACCAGCCTGGCCAACATGGTGAAACCCCATCTGTACTAAAAATACAAAAAAAATTAGCCAAGCATGGTGGTACACACCTGTAATCCCAGTTGCTTGGGAGGCTGAGGTAGGAGAATTGCTTGAACCCGGGAGGCAGAGGTTGCAGTGAGCCAAGATTGTGTCACTGTACTCCAGCATGGGGGACAGAGTGAGACTCTGTCTCAAAAAAATAATAATAAAATAAAATGGCACAGTGCCTCCAAGGGTGTACGCAGGGGACGGTGGGGAGCCACACGTGGAGGGCTTGGCACCACTCCTGTCCCAGCAGGCTCTGGCTGAACGCATCACATCACAGCTGCCTTGCCACAGCCCTGGGCAGAACTGACGTGGGAAGCAGTGAGGACTCCAGCCAGTGCTGGGGGCGGTCTGGGCTGGCTAGGGTGGGGGTAAATGCCTCTGCGTGAGGGTTTTGGCTCCACGTCGCCACACAGCTTAACTGGCACGAAAGTGGGGTTGTTTCTTTGGACGCCCGCTCAGTGAGGCGAGTCTGCAAAATGGTTTTCGTTTAAACACCCCCAGGTTTGAATTCCTCCGAAACTTCCCAAAAATGTCTCCTTTTTTGGCTGAAATGCCTCTTTCGTTGGGGTGTGTGCCCAAGAGGAACTGCACATGGGGAGGGGGTGGAAATCACCCCTGCAATGACTGGCTTTCCAGAAGCTTCCATCCTTGCTCTCAGGCTATTTATTGCTCACCACCCAGTTTTCAGCACACGGGCTCTTGTTTCAGTCTAAGGTTTCTTCTTCATCGAGGGGTTGGGGGTGGAGAGACCTTCACAGGCACCAGAGGTTCTCGTCCATCTTCACCTTGGCTTGAGGAATGAAGAGTGAAATGGTCCCGGCTCGCACCAGGCCACTGGGGGCTCCCTCTCCACTGCCCCCCCAGCCCCCGCCTGGTCCCCTGTGTTTGCAAGTTATTTCCCAAACGGAGAAATTTCTGAACATAAGCTCCTAGTCATTCCTCTAAACCGGGGTTTCTCAACCTCAGTGCTATTGATATTTTGGACAAGATAATTCGTTGATGTGGGGGCCTTTCCTGTGTATTGAAAGGTATTTAGCAAGGCCAAGCATGGTAGTTCACACCTATAATCCCAGTACTTTGGGAGGCTGAGGCAGGAGGATTGTTTGAGGTCAGAAGTTCAAGACCAGTCATGGCAACATAGTAAGACCTCATTTACACACACACACACACACACACTCACACGGGAACACTCGTTTACAGTCTCATGGAACCATTTAACTTTACATCAAATCAGTTGGTTGCTCAAGAGTCAGTAAACCCTCCTAAACTGGGAGCTGATTAAAAGCAGATACCGAGCAGTGCCCATCCCTGGACCTGGTACGTTCTAGAAGCTTCATAACAGTTAACTGAACAAATGCCCAGGTCTGTGGAAAGAACGTCAGGTGTAAAATGGGAACACGTAACTGGGGAGACAAAAATACAAAGGTATGGACTGAAATTCAAGGCTCTTTCTTCTGCTGGCCGAACTCTAGGCAAAACATGTCACCCCAAACCTGGCCAGTGGAACGCAAAACAAGAGCAGTCCTATGGGGGAATTTGGCCACATCTAGCATTCACTCATTGGCCAAGAAATTCCACTTCTAGGAATCTGTCCTAAATATGCACCAGCAGAAATAGAAAATCATATTTGCATGAGGTCATGCATTGTGGCATTCTTCTAGTTTCAAGGAATTGGAAATACTCCAAATGCCCATCAATAGGGCTCTGGTTGAATAAACACAGCAGAGTCGCACAGCCGACTGCTATGCAGCTGTGAAAAGGACCTGAAGGGCTGTGACGTGCTGGATGGGGGAACACCTGAGAAATATCATTAGGTGGGGCAGCCAGGTGTGGTGGCTCACGCCTGTAGTCCCAGCACTGTGGGAATCAAACAGACGGGCGGATCACAAGGTCAGGAGTTCAAGGCCAGCATGGCCAATATGGTGAAACCCCGTCTCTCTAAAAATACGAAAGTTATCTGGGTGTGGTGGCGTGCGCCTGTAATCCTAGCTACTCTGGAGGCTGAGGCAGGAGATTTGTTTGAACCTGGGAGGCGGAGGTTGTGGTGAGCAGAGATCATGCCATTGTACTCCAGCCTGGACAACAGAGCAAGACTCCATCTCAAAAAAATATCATTAGGTGGGGCAAAAAAAAGTGAACAGTATATGCTGTGCTTTTCTTTTTCTTCTTTTTTTTTGAGAGAGTTTCACTCTGTTGCCCAGGCTGGAGTATAGTGATACAATATCAGCTCACAGCAGCCTCCACCCCCCGGTTCAAGTGATTCTCCTGCCTCCGCCTCCAGAGTAGCTGGGAGTACAGGCGCCCACCACCGTGCCCAGCTAATTTTTTGTAGAGATGGGGTTTCACCATATTGACCAGGCTGGTCTAGAACTCCTGACCTCAGCCTCCGGAGTAGCTGGGATTGCAGGTGCATACCTGGCCAATTTTTTTCTTTTTAGTAGAGATGGGGTATCGTCATGTTGCTCAGACTGGTCTCAAACTTCTGGCCTCAGATGATCCACCTGCCTCAGACTCCGAAAGTGAGTTTATTTTATTTTTTAAGTTTATTTATCATTATTTTTTTGAAATAGAGTCTGGCTGTGCGGCCCAGGCTGGAGTGCAGTGGCGCAATCTCCACCCACCGCAACCTCCGCCCACTGCAATCTCCGCCCACTGAGCGATTCTTGTGCTTCAGTCTCCAGAGTAGCTGGGATTTCAGATGCTTGCGACCATGTGTCTGTCTGTCTCTCTCTCTCTCTCTCTCTCTCTCTCTCTCTCTCTCTCTCTCTCTCTTTTTAATAGAGATGGAGTTTCACCATGTTGGTCAGGCTGGTCTCGAAATCCTGGCCTCAAGTGATCCACCTTCCTCGGCGTCTCAAAGTGATGGGATTACAGATGTGGGCCACCGTACCAGGCCATTTTTTAAACTTGTATTTGTAATCTTAGAAAATGGGAGTGTGGCCAGGCTTGGTGGCTCACGCCTATAATCCCAACACTTTGAAAGGCAAGGGTGGGCGGATCACTTGAGGTCAGAAGTTTGAGACCAACCTAACCAACATGGCGAAACCCCATCTCTTAAAGTAATAATAATAATAATACATTTTTTTAAATTAAAGAATACAAAAATTAACCAGGCATGGTGGTGGGCACCTGTAATCCAGCTACTTGAGAGGCTGAGGCATGAGAATCACTTGAACCCAGGAGGCAGAGGTTGCAGCGGGCCAAGATCGTGCCACGGTGCTCTAGCCTTGAGGACAGAACAAGACTCAGCCTCAAAAAAAAAAAAAAAAAAAAAAAAGTGAAAATGTGGGGAGTGGGATAGGGGAGAGGAGAGCATTTTGTTTTACTCTGTACCCATCTGTGTTGTTTGAATCTGTTACTCTGACAAGCAGTGTGATTACATGGTTATTAAAATACACATTTTTAATGAGAAAATCAGATACACAGAGAACTGCTGAACCAGCAGTGCTGGTTGATTCTAAGTGCTGGAGAGAAGGGGCTTCCATATGGACCCAGGCAATCAGGGAGGGCCCCCTGGAGGAGTGCGCATCCTAGAGGATGAAGGGTCAGAGGTTTTGCCCCTGGATATAAAATTTAAATGAGGAAATAGTAGCTGGACGCCCCCCACCCCATCCTCCAAGGGACAGGCTGGGCCCAGAGGTTTAGGCCCCATGGCCTCCCCAGGGTTCTTTCTGCTGGGCCCTCCTTACCAGAGCTGCCAGTTCTGTACCAAAAGCCAGCACTGACCCCTGGTCAGGGCCCCAGCTGGGATCCTCCACCACTGCTGCTGGGCCTTGGCTGGGTGCCCCCCCTCACTCCCTCTGGCTGATTGGAGAATTCCTGCGCATCCTGCAAACCCCTTGTAAGCTCCACCTCTCCTGATCGGCCACCCCGACCAGCTCCTCATTCCCACCAGCGCTGAGCATCCCCCCGTGCCCTGGCCCGCACCTGGCCCTGAGCCACCCCATGGTCCCCCATCTTATCTGGGGCCTGCCTCCCCTGCTGATGAATCTGTCCCTCCCAGCCCTCAGCACAGCCTCTGGCTCAGTAGGTCCTCTGGAAAGGAAGGCCATGCCCAACAGCTGCCTGATTGGCTAAATAGGAGAGGATGAGGACTCTGGTGCCAGACGGGTGGGTTCAGATCCCTCCACCACCAATGACTTCACTGGGCCCTTGAACTTGGGCCCGAGACCGTAGCCTCTCTGACTCTTCTTCCCTTGGAGTGATGAGGATCGCGACATCTGTGTTTAGGGCTCCTGGGAGCTTCCTGGAATCTGTGGGTCTGAGCCTTGACTCCCACTGCTCTTTATGACATATTAATTATTAATAGTAGTACATGTCAGCACAGGTTCCCATGCAGAATGCGCCATGCCACACAGCCTGAGCCAGGTGCTGGGGTCACTCAGGTGTCTCCTGGCCCCTCCTTGAGCAGCTCACTTGTCCCTGGTGGAGGGGACACCTGTCCCCAGGGCTCTTGTCGTGGTCTCATCTCAGTTGGCTCAGTCTGGGGTATCCACAAGGCAGGGGGCATGGCTATTTGTGTTCACCACATCTCCCCTGAGTCTAGCACTGGGCCTGCCACATAATAGGTGCTCAGTAAATATGAGTTGAAGAATGGATGGATGGGTGGATGTCCCAAGGAAGGAATGAGGGAGTGAATATAAGGGACGCCTTCCTGCCGGCGCCGCTGGGCCATCCGAGGCACCAAAACGCTCAGAGCAAATTGCGGAGCTGGGGGCTGAACCGCGACGGTGGCCACTGGCCGCCCTGCTGACCCTCCGGCCCCTCCGCAGGTGAGTGTCCCAGCCCGGGGCGCGGCAGCGCCGCCAAGCGGAAGAAGAAGCAGCGGCGGAACCGCACCACGTTCAACAGCAGCCAACTACAGGCGCTAGAGCGCGTGTTCGAGCGCACGCACTACCCTGACGCCTTCGTGCGCGAGGAGCTCGCCCGGCGCGTCAACCTCAGCGAGGCGCGCGTCCAGGTGAGCGCTCCGTCCCGAGCTGCCCATGGGAGCCTGCACCTGTGAGTGCGCAGCCGCCGTTCACCCGGGATCACACAATTGTCCAGGAGGGGTTTTTAAGAGCAGAGCAGGAGCATCTGAGCACTTACAGACCATATGACCTTGAGCAAGTTACTTAAGCTGTCTGTGCTGCAGGCACCTGCCTCCCTGGAAAATGAGTATCACATAGGTCTTTGTTGTAGGAATCCTTCGAGAAGTAAAGTTTTCATAAAGCGGCCAGGTACAGTGGCTCACGCCTGTAATCCCAACACTTTGGGAGGCTAAGGCGGATGGATCACTTGAGGTCAGGAGTTCAAGACCAGACTGGCCAACATGGTGAAATCCTATTTCTACTAAAAATACGAAAATTATCTTGGTGTGGTGGCATGTGCCTGTTAATTCCAGCTATTCAGGAGGCTGAGGCAGGAGAGTTGCTTGAACCCGGGAGGCAGAGGTTGTAGTGTCATCCCCATTTTACTGAAACAACAGGTTCAGAGAGATAATGCTGCCAGCCCAGGGCTGGCGGCAGAGCAGGCACACACCCAGGTCCAAAAGGACTTGGGTCCCCCGGCCATGCTGCATCCTGCTCACCCTCCCACCCACAGGTCTGGTTTCAGAACCGCCGCGCCAAGTTCCGCCGGAATGAAAGGGCCATGCTGGCCAGCCGCTCTGCCTCGCTTCTCAAGTCCTACAGCCAGGAGGCTGCCATCGAGCAGCCTGTGGCTCCCCGGCCCACTGCCCTGAGTCCAGATTATCTCTCCTGGACAGCCTCGTCTCCCTACAGGTGAGAGCAGGAACACCTTTAGGTCGGGAGTGGGGAGCTGGGGAAATCCCAGAGAGGCTTTTCCTGCCCAGACTCCTCTGAGGGTCTGGAGAGAGTTTGAATGGTGGCCACGTGCCCCTGGGATCTGGGGTACGCCAGGTGATGTGTGGTGAGTGTGCCTGTGAGTGGGTGTTCACGAGCACCCTCATGCACATGTTGTAGGAGTTTGCAGGTGTGTGTATCAGTGCACATGTGTCCACACATGCCCGTGAGTGTGCATGCACGTGCCTGTGTGTGCAAAGGAGTGTGCAAGCCTGCATGTCTATGGGGGTTTGATTGTGTGTGTGAGTGCATGCGGGGAGAAAACAGGCTTCTCTGGAGTGGTGCCAAGTACAGGCATTGCCCTGAGGGAGGAGAGGAACTGCGGGAAGATTCCTAGGCTGGTACTGGGGCCCCAGTGCCCTGTGTCCACCCTCCAGCTGAGAAGCTGAGGCTGGGAGGCTAAGGAAATGGTCTCCCTGGCATGGCTGGGGCCCAGAGCCCAGTTCTGGGGCAGTTTTGTCTGGATAGAAGCTGGAAAGACTGACATGGTCAGCAGGAGGTGCTCGAGAGTCGGGCCCCCATGCCCCACAGCTCCAGAGGCAGCAGCTGCTCCGTGGGCTGTGAGAGCAGCTTTGCGGGAGCCACAGTCCTGTGGGGTGACAGGGATTTCCTGGGTCTGCTTGTGGGATCTTAGTACTCACCACCCTCCTGACCTTCCTCCCTGTCCGTCCTTACCTGGGGCAGGAAAACCAAGGAGCATCCTTAATTTTTTTTTTTTTTTTTGAGACGGAGTTTAGCACTGTCACCCAGGCTGGAGTGCAGTGGTGCAATCTAAGCTCACTGCAACCTCCACCTCCCAGGCTCAAGCAATTCTCCTGCTTCAGTCTCCCTAGTACCTGGGATTACAGGCACCCACCACAACGCCCAGCTACTTGTTTGTATTTTTAGTAGAGACAGGGTTTCACCATGTTGGTCAGGCTGGTCTCAGGTGATCCATCCGCCTCAGCCTCCAAAGTGATGGGATTACAGGCATGAGCCACCATGCTCAGCCCCAAGGGGCATCCTGAAATCCAGGTGCCTATTCATTCTACTTCCATCCTGCTGTGAGCCAAACCCAGAGCAGGCACGGGGTGCCAACAGGACCGAGGCCCCGCTCTCAGGAAGCTCATGATCCCCTGGGAGGCTCCTGTGTCCCAGCACAGAGCTGGGGGCCTTCGGACTCCTCCCCAAACCCTACTTCAAACCATCTCCAATCCTAGGTGAAGATTTCCCAGGAGAGCAAACTAAGGCGGGTGGGGGGGGCTGGCAGAACCAGAGGCTGGAGTGGATTGACAGCCAGAAGCACCCATGTGTCCTTGTGTCTCCTGTCATCCCCAGCACAGTGCCACCCTACAGCCCGGGGAGCTCAGGCCCCGCCACCCCGGGGGTCAACATGGCCAACAGCATCGCCAGCCTCCGTCTCAAGGCCAAGGAGTTCAGCCTGCACCACAGCCAGGTGCCCACAGTGAACTGACGTCCAGTCCCACCAAGGCCCAGCCGCCTCCCTGGGTGGACAGCGACAGAAAAGAGGGCATATGCCCAGGAAGTGACCTTCTCCTGGATGGCCTCTCCCGGCCCGTCTCTCCAGCCAGGACTCCTGAGGCCGCGAGGCTGTCAAGGTCCCTGCAGCCAGGCCCAGCCCCTCTGTCCTCGGCCGCCAGAGACTGCACCCCACAACCCTTGGAGGGGTTGGGCCAGAGGGTGGAGGAAGAGCCTGCCAAGGACCTCATTTAGTTTGTGTATTAAAACCAAAAAGCTTTTGTCTTTAAGAAATAAAACCTTTTTTTTAAGCCCCAAAAGGTTGCAGGAAGATGGGTAAGGGCTGCAAATAAGGCTGGCTGCTGAGGTGAGAGCTGGGACCCCACGGGCTGGACAGCCTCGCCAGACCCTTTTCTGGCCTGCAGCAGGCATGAGACTACCCCAGGCCTGGCTCCGCCCAGCAGCCGGGGTAGGCCCACTGCCCTCCTGTCTGTGCCGTTCCTGGGAGTGAAGTCCTCGGTCACCCTGCAGGGCCCCCAGGGGCGGTAGGGTAGATGAGGAGGAGAGAAACCTTCCCTGGACCCCATCTCCCACCTTGAGACCCAAGGGGACACCCAGGTGTTTGGGCAGAGGCTTGCTGTGTGACCCTGGGCAGGGAGCATCTCCCCATCCTCTCCGGGGATGAGCATGGATTCCTAGGCTGGCCAGAGGGTGGGTGGATGGATGTGAGGAAACCCAGCCCCTTGCTTCTGGGTACACAGGAAGCGTGGGATCTCTCTGGCCATTTGACCACGGAGGGGCTGGGAAAATGGCCCAGAAAACTGGGCCAGGCCCCCAGGACAGTAGTGTGCTCCGTGACAGCTGAGGCCAGCAGAAGACCCTTTCCCAAGTCCCTCACCCCTCCCATTTGCGGCCAGGAACTGGGGCTGCCAGCAGCCACTTATGAGGGGTCTGCAGAAAACAGGGTGAGGGATGGCCTGAGACCAGCCCCTCTACCTGTCCCCACGCCCAGCCTTCTGATGGGCGTGCTCACGAGGGAAGCCAGGAGTGCCTTTCTGCTCAAAGTACCCCTAGGCCAGCGCCCGGGAGGTAGGACAACAGTCCCCACTCCAGGGTGCACAAAGACGTCAGCTGGGCAGCAGTAGGGGACAACCCTGACACTTGGGGTGGTGGGTGGCAGGTGGCACAGCAAGGAATCCCAGAGTCAATGACCTGGGCTGATTCTCCCTCGTCCCGCCCTGACCATGCATCACTGGGCCCCCAAAGCGCCAGCCATGGGGCTCCACGCCTGAATAGCCTTGCACAGGGATGCCCCACTATATTTATTTATTTAGTTAGTTAGTTAATTTTTTTGAGAGGGAGTCTTGCACTGTCGCCCAGACTAGGGTGCAGCGGCACAATCTCAGCTCACTGCAACCTCCGCCTCCCGGGTTCAAGCGATTCTCCTGCCTCAGTCTCCTGAGTAGCTGGGATTACAGGTGCGCACCACCACACCTGGCTAACGTTTTTGTATTTTTAGTAGAGCCTGGGTTTTGCCATGTTGGCCAGGCTGGTCTTGAACTCCTGACCTCAGATGATTCACCTGCCTCGGCCTCCCAAAGTGCTGGGAGCCACTGTGCCTGGCCCCCACTTTAGTTAGAAGGTACAGCAGCTACACTTGTGAGTGAACCGAGGACTGCCTCCTACCTGCCCCTGGTACCCCCTGAACACTCCTCTCCATCCTCCACCCGGATTTCCACCACAGGACCTCGTGCTTGTGAATTGAGCACTGGCCCTTTCAGACGTACAAACAGACCTGGGGAAGAGTGACCGCCTGGTCACCATGTGACTTCTTCCTTCGGTGGCGGGACAGCTTCCTCCCTGGCCGAAGCAGGGACTCTGACCAGCAGGAGAGCCTGGAGCACCGGTGGGGGCTGCAGGGGACGGGAGGAGGATTCTACTGAGGTCTCCAGCTGCTCAGGCCCACCCCACTGTGGGGACCAGGCCTGTGCCCTGGTCTGGGGGAGAAGGGAGAGGAGGATTTGTGTTTTCTGGCGCTCAGTTTGACCTCTGCCTCAGGTAAGTGCTTTCTGGGCTTCCATTTGCCATTCTTTTTTTTTTTTTTTTCCTTGATACGGAGTCTAGCTCTGTGGCCCAGGCTGGAATGCAGTGGCAGGATCTTGGCTCACTGCAACCTTCACTTCTCAGGTTCCGATTCAAGCAATTCTCCTGCCTCAGTCTCCCGAGTAGCTGGAATAACAGCCATGCACCACCATGCCCAGCTAATTTATTTTTATTTTTATTTTTTTAGTAGAGACAGGGTTTCACCATGTTGACCAGGCTGGTTTTGAACTCTTGACCTCATGATCCACCCACCTCGGCCTCTCAAAGTGCTGGGATTACAGGCGTGAGCCACCTCACCCGGCCCCATTTGCCATTCTTATACTGAAAAAATACTATGAAACACAAAGTCCCTGGCCATAGAGGCTGCACCATGCTACGAGGAAGCAAAGCTAAAGGAATAATCACAGCACCACTGAGGCTATGAGCGGGTGCTGCAGGGGCCCAGAGCACACAGACGGGGGCCTCAAACCTCATTTAAATCATCCTGGCAGGCTTCCTGGAGGA